CAGATACCAGGGACTGCAGTTTGTAAGAGCCCCCCCGCCCCCCCTCCCGGCCCCGCCCCGCCCGGCCTCACCTTTTGTAGGTCCTCCTGCAGCTTCCTGAGCATGGACTCCAGGCGAGAGACCTTCTCTGACAAATTTTTGGGCTCTGGCCTGAGCAGGTGGGGGTCAGGCTTCAGCGGGGCCAGGGCAGGCAGCACCCCCCGACTGTGTCTCCCAGACCTGCCTGAATAAAAAGCCCCACCCCACCCCGGCTTCTCTGACTCAAGTGCACACCGAAGCAGAACCCCAGGACAGCTTTCACAACAATGGCGGGGCGCAACCGTGTAGGTAAGGGTGAGGGGCGGGCGGGGGGGTAATCTGAGGACCCCTTATTTGCCACTTGAGTGGCGGGGGGGGGGGGCGGGCGGGGGGGGCCTTACTCAGCATCAGACTTGGGGGTTCCCTTGGCATCTCCACTCTCTGGAATAGTCTGTCCTGTGGGGGCAGAGGGCTGTTTACCAGGTAAAGGGAGGCAGGGCCTCCTCTCAGCCCGGCCCCGGCGGCCCAGCGGCCTCACCCTCGCGGGACAGCGACTCCAGGATGCTGTTGCAGGTGGAGGCGATCTCCGAGATGGACTGCCACTCGTCCTCCAGCGTCTCGCTGCCCGCCTCCGACATGACTGGGCACAAGAGGTGTGCTCAGTCCTCTTGGTAGCCCGCTCAGCCCTCCTCCAGCCCCCTGGCTCCAGACTCACTTTTGCTGATGGAGTTCCGCAGGGACAGGGTCCTCGGCAGGAAGGAGGCCCTGAGCTCCGGGGCGGGGGCCTCCCTGTGACTTGGCGTCCCATCCTGGGGGCAGGCGTGTGGAGCAGTGACCCCCGCCGGCACCACCCAGCCCGCCCCTGCCCCCGGCTCGAGCCCTGTTTCTACGCACCTGGGCGGGGGGCGTCTCCCTGCCAGCACCAGGTGCTAATGGCTTGGCCGGGGTGGCCAGGAGGAGGTCTGGGGTGGTGTTGGGCAGGACGGGGGCCTCATCCGACAGGGAGCTGGCGAGAGCAGGGGCAGCTCAGTGCTGCTGCCCCCGGGGGCCCTGCATTCACAGAGCTGGGCCTGGTCACCCCCCACCCTGCTGGAGGACAGGGGTGGCCAGGAGGGAGCACCTGCGGGGTGAGGGCGAGCTCTGGCTGTGCAGGAACTCGGTTCTCTCCTCGGCCAGCTCGCCGGGCCCCGGAGGCCCGCCACTGTCACGCAGACACAGGTGCGTCAGCTGCTCGCAAACCTCCTCCTGCGCCGCCTCAGGCAGCCCTCGGCGGCTGGGCTCCTGCAGCGACAGCGTGTACAGCTCCGAAAAGCTCCTGGGAGGAGGAAGGGCTGCGTCAGGCAGGACACCCCACGGGGCGCCCCCGTCGGCAGTGCCGCTCCCCGCCGGCCCGGGCTCTCCAGGGGGCGCCCTCTCTGGCTGACAGCAGGCCGGAGGCTGCCCGCCGTGCTCCCAGCCCTGCAGTCCAGGCCCTGCGAGGCCCCTCGCGTCAGTCACCTGTGGCAGGCACGCTGCTGGGGCCCCCCCGGCCTCGCCCCGCCTCTCCTTTTTAGCAGGTGTGCCTGCGTCTGGACTCAGGGCAGGTGAAAATCATGTAAAATGCAACATTCAGCGTCCAGGGTAAAGCTGCGGAGCAGCTGGGCCTGCCTGTGCCCACCTCCTGGCGGATGAGGCCCTCCTGTTGCCAGAGTCAGGCGGCTGCTGCAGTGACCAGGTGGCCCAGCAGACCCAAAGCCACCCAAAGCCACTGTCCGGCCGTTACAGACAGGCCCTCCAGCGGGGCGTGCAGGCCTCATCGACAGCGCGGAGCTGTGGCTACTACAAAGGTCCAAGCCCTTTGCCCAGTGAGGTCCGCATCACTGGCTCTTTCTCTGATGTGTCAGGGAGGTTCAAAAAATGGAGGATTTGCCGTAGCCTCCAGGACCCGCAGACTGCCGGGCTTCTGCTGCGCCCGCCCGCACCGTGCTGACCTGCGGGGCCGGCCGCCGTCGTCGGGGGGCAGGACAGTGACGCAGACTTTGGGCGCCGAGCGGAGCAGCTGGGCAGTGGCCTCCGGGCCGAGGCTGGGCAGGGTCTGGCCGCACACGCGCAGCAGGCGCGCCCCGGGCCGCAGTCCCGCCTTCTCGGCGAAGGTGAAGCGATCCACGTAGGTGATGAAGCCCTCTGCGTCCACCTCGAAGCCCAGGCGGCCTTGGCCTTGGCCATCGCGGGGCAGCGCCAGCTCTCGGGTCTCACAGCCGCGGCTCACCAGCTGGGCGGGGCGGGTTGCGGCAGCGCTGGGAGGAGAGGCCGCCGCT